CTTTTCTGCTATTAGCTGGTTGTTCTTTGCCTCTGCCTCTTGGATTGTACATCTTGTCAGCTTTGTGTATTATCACTTACATTACTTAATCATTTAGTTAAATAATGTAATTCATTCGATGGTTTTGGTAAATGAAAAAATCAAGTTAAACAGCAATTTAAAGCCATTTCTCTCATAATATGTGGTACATTTTTACATTTTTAAAATTAAATAAACCCTAACCCTATGGGATTATTTAAAAAATAATTGATCAAGTGAGGTAATCAAAGGAGGTAAGAGTCTGAGCCAGGTTTTAATGCACTCTTAAATAAAGATTGACGTAGACCATGGTGTCACAACACAGCTATTCACCACTGTCAGATTCATCCTGTCACCATGATCATGAATGGCTGTTCTGACAGACATTAAAAGCATCATAATTAACACATACTATTGACCTATACTTCCTGTTTCATTTATCCCATGAGCCCCCAAAAATCCCCTCCTGATCAGCAGTTTGAGAAGCTTCATTGATAGCTAAGCTCTCATCCCACAGGGGACCGGCTACCAGGAATCAGACCAGCTGGGTCAATGGTTAAATCAATATAATGCTTTGGTTCTGACTGTTGTCCTCCCCCTCCTCACCCCCTCTCTCCCCCGGACCCATTAGGAATACTATGACAAAGGAGAGTACGTCATCCGGGAGGGAGAGGAGGGCAGCACCTTCTACATCATCGCACAGGGAAAGGTAATGTGCACAGGACAAACACACAAGCACATCGTTTCGTTTATCATTTTTGTCTGGACCATCACACTGCAAGGCCTACTGTTCATTCATTTCAATTTAAACTTAAGACTATCCAAAAATGTCCTTGCTACTGCTGTGATTGTAAAACTTCATCTGTCTGTACAAAGACAGAGAGACAGATTACATTTTTCATCTTTTCTACATTTCTGCATGTATTTGTGTTATGACTAGTATGTTGCCATAATTGCAGTTTGGGACTAATAGTCAATATCAAAGCTGATCATTTATGTGTGAACAACTGTTTTGGTTATTACAGTAAAACAGGGTTTCCAGACATTCAGGGTCTCCACTAAAACCTCAATGGATGAAAGACACAACCACCTATGTAATATATAATATATTAGATATATTATTGTCTTTGCACAAAAGAGTTTGACAAGACTTAGCGTCTACAGCCATGCTGGCATCTAGCAAACAGTTGCTTATGGCTCTGAGGCTACATGTTATTGTCAGCCTGCTAACGTGCTGACAATCACGATGCTAACTTGCTGATGTTAAGCAGGCACAATGTTGTCCATGTTCCCATCTTAGCTGTTAGCATGGTAACATTTGCTTATTAAAACAAAGCACAGCCGAGGCAGATGGGAATGTTATTCATTTAGCAGGTATTAGGTCTGATGGTAGAAGAGGACAAGTTAAGGGATCACCAAGGTAATTAAAAATCATCCTTAGGGGACATGAATGTCTGTACAAAATGTCAAGGCAATACATCCCATAATTGACATTTAATTTGGCTGAAAAACAATAATTGCAGAATCAAGTAAATAAAAATAGCTGTAGGAAGGGAGGAAACAACATAATGTGCAAATATCCAATACTTGCATAAAGATTCAGCTAATTTTTAAAATAGTTTTTACCATTATTCGCATTGGTTATGATAGGATGTTACACATGGGCCTCACTGCTGAGATTTTAGAGCCATTTTCAGACTATGCAACAATGACACTCAATAGGGCCAGAGACACAAGCCTCAATCCTGTCCTTACAACAATAAAATAAATCCTCTGGTGCCTCGCTTAGACAATACTGCGTGGCGTCTCTACTGCACGGATCAGGATGCTGCTCCAGTCTTTGCAGCAAAGAATTTTTCTGTCAGTATGTGTGTGGAGTGGCTACAGAAATACATCTAGTCTTCCTCTCTTCCCAGCTATTTGGTTTCCACTTGAGTGTAAACAAAAGTGCATACGGCAGTAAACATAGCAGGTATGTCATCCTGAAAGTAAATCTGCAATTCAGCGGAGAAGAATCTCCTGGTAGCAACTTTCAACAATTAACTCACAGATTCATTGACTCAAGTGTTTTTTTAGAAACTGGCATTGTTGTGTTGTGTATAGAAATAATGACCAAAAAACAAGTTCAAATACAAACAAAATAAATGTATTTTCCTTCAATACCAGACCAGTTTTGATCAAACTGTATGTGAGTCTGGGAGGTGCTGGACTATGACTCACCCTCCTGTCTGTCTGATAAGTCAGCAACCTGACACCGGGGAGCGAGGGGAGATGGACAGGGGCCAGAGCTGTCCACAGGGGACATTGAAAATGCCATTATGAGCCGATGTGAGACAGCAGCTTCTCAGCGCAAAGCTAACCACACCAGAGAGAGACACATGTTGTTTGGTAGGAAGGGGGTAAATACAGGAAATGGCTGTACCATGCCCCACCCCCGTACCCCCTGACCAGGGAGGGAATAAACTCTTGAGAGCCCCTGCCACCAGGAAAAACAGGGGAAGTGAAGGTCAGAGGTCAAACCGGGACACTTAGCTAAAACTCACCCCGGCCGTTAATGTGGTGTTGTGATGCGTCATTGCGGCATTTCTTCGCCTGGATGGTTAACCTCGATCGGGGTGGGCCACTGGTTTTTAAAGCCTCACAAATTAAGAGGAAGTTCCACAGTATCCAAGCCACTGCAGTATTTTTGTTAAAAACTGCTCCTCTAAAGGCAGCACTTAGAGAAAGGACAAGCAGAATAAACAGATGCAGCTGATTAAAACCCTCTTACAATGAATGTGTCTATTTCGACAGCATGTCAAGAAAATATAGTGCATTAGCGCCACTTAATCACTCATAAACCATTATGTTACAATTACTATAACTGAATATGTCAATTATTTAAATTTCTTAGAATTTTAAATTTTTACAATGCACGTAAACATATTTGTAGGAAATTGAACGCAATCTGCACTGAACAGGAGATGACAGAATGAGGAAGTGAAAAAGCGCTTTAAAGATCCCGCTGTGTTGTGCAGGTGAAGGTTACCCAGACCACTGAGGCTCACAAGTTGCCGCAGATCATCAACACGCTGCAGAAGGGAGACTACTTTGGAGAGAAAGCACTTATAAGGTAAAAACAAACATTAATACCACCAGAGATTGTCATTTTACTCCCCTTTTACTCCTCTGGATTTTCTCTGTGGAAAGAAATAGCCAAGTTATGTTAAGTCATTTATATTTATACTGCCCAAAATTTAAGACACCCTCTGTTCTTAAGCCCAGGGACAAAGGATAAACTCCACAAAAAATACTTACAGCACAGAAAATAAAAAGAGGAAGAATCAGGGCTGTAAAAAGCTTATGGTAAATATGCAGCCTTTCAGAATCTGCAAAATAAGGAATTGTGCAATTTAATCTTGACTATGAACATACTTCATAAACTCATTATGTGTTATCTCCTGCTTTACCTGTCAATTATTACTTTTAAATTCTATTTTAATGTAGGTTTTTGAATATTATACAATAGTACACAACTGTACTGAAAATATTTTAGCAATATAAATGTTAAATCTTTTAGAGGAAGCACAGCTGTGCCCTTTATGGATGCACTTAAATTCCAAATGCCCTCCTAATCTTAAAATCGTTATCAAAACAGTGGGAGGAGTGAGGAATGTGTGTGTTTTTATGAGTGTGATGTACGTCTCTGTATCTTTCAGTGATGATGTCAGGTCAGCTAATATCATCGCTGAGGAGAACGGGGTGGAGTGCCTTGTCATCGACAGAGAGTGAGTATTCTGACATTTGAAGTGTAGTTTTCTGGTTGGTAAATGAACACCAATCCAAATATAGTTGCCTCTGTAACAGAAGAATCAAATAGCGCTTTATATTTACAGTTATTTGTACATCCAGAGCATTTGGTTTGTGTTTTCTTTCCCTCCCTTGCCTGTCCATTTCATGTTGTAACCGAGTAATGTTATGACAAAAAAAGATGACAAAAAAATGAGATGAGAAATATTTTGGCAGTTTTGAGTGGTGACCTACTAGGACTCGGCAACCTTATGTTGTGTTCTTTTTTGAGTTTTCTTCCACACTCAGTTCTGAAAAATTGCCAGCTGGAAAGGACCGTTCCAGTATGTCCTCCCATTTACTCTGCAGTCTAATGTGATTAACAACAACTACACAACAAAATGTGATCTTCCTTGGGAAACATACTAGGCCTGTGTATTGCAAGAATCTGGTGATACGATGCCTATCACGATGCAATATATTGGGATATGGTAAGCGAGGCGATATATAGCATTTTAGGAAAACTGCCATAGTATATTAAACACACCACCATATGCATACAAGCTGAGTAAAATGCAACCAGAACAGTGAGATCTGCATTTGTATTTATCACAGTTTTTATTTTATACTTTATACTCCCCGGGCACTTATGGCTGCCCACTGCTGCTAATGTATAGGATGAGTCATATGCAGAGGACACTTTTCCCCCCCGTATGTAAAATGCTCTGAAATGACAATTGGGCTAGAATAAAAAAAATAAAAAAGAAGCCTCTCAGCCAGCATTCCAGTGGTTGCATTGTTGACGTGCGGTTGTTGGTTTTCTAGGACATTTGATCAGACAGTGGGCACCTTCAATGAACTGCAGAAGTACCTTCAAGGCTACGTGGCAACACTTGATCGAGACGACAAGAAGAGACATGCCAGGTAGGTGCAGTGCTGTGTGCTCAGGATGGAATAGTGAATGAAAAGATGTGTTGAATGTTTGGTTGGAATAAAACAACTTAATCAGTCCCAGCTAAAATTCTTGACCCATTCAATTTTACTGAGAATGAAAGTATAAACCTAACATACCCATGTTTCTCATATTACAAAATCTATACTTATTAATGGTGGGTTGGTCCCTCTGTCCGTGCCTCCTCCCAGGAAGTCAGTGTCGCGTCACCAGAGCCAGCCACTGTCGCCAGACGTCATCCAGCTGAAGGAAATGGTGTCAGGGTTCCCTCCATCCAGGCCCTTCGACCACTTGGAGGTCATCGCTACTCTTGGGGTTGGCGGCTTTGGACGAGTAGAACTGGTGAGACCTGAATCTACAAAGCATTCTAGTATATTAACATTTAGGAATCTATTGGCAGAAATGGAATATAATATTCATAGGTATGTTTTGATTAGTGTATAGTCACCTGAAAATAAGAAATGCATGTACCTTAGAAAGAGACGTTTTTATCTACAGAGAGAGTGGGTCCTCTTTAACGGAGTCCGCCATGTTGAACTGCCATGTTTCTATAGTAGCCCAGAACAAATAAACCAAACACTGGCTCTAGATCTTTCACGTTTTTTGCAAGTTTAGCTGCCACTGTAATTTCTCCTACACGAGCGGTATTCAGTTTGTTGCAATCTGCAACTGCACTAGCTGTGCCTGTCCATGTTTATGCTGCCTTCACGCCATATAGAGTTAGTGAAAATACCATTTCACATAGACAAAGGGGTCATTATGATTTACATTTTTTCTTTTTCTGAAAGGTGAAATTTGCAGTAAATAATAAGAAAAGTGAAAGAAAACAAAGAGGGATTCCTTGTGACACATATTTTACGGGAACCAAAGCTCAACAATACATACATATTTATCCAACCATGTTAACTAACTATTCACTGAAATTAATGCCTGCAAGACTGTTATGTTGAAAGATAGATTGGTTTGGATATCTCAGACTGCCAAAGCCTCATTTTAACTTCAGATAAACTTTGATATATATTTTTTACACAGAACAGTGTAGATTTTGTCCACCATCACTTACATTGAAAGTGCATTAGGATTGGATATTTTCTCACTATGAACAGGAGATTATAGCTATCAAAACCTTTAACATGTTTTAAAGACAGACCTGAAAAAATGTGAACCTATCCTTTAGTGTTGTCAAATACAGTGCTTTTCCTGCTATGGCAAGTGAGTTGTGAAAAACATCTTCCCTGTTATTTCCATCGGCAGGTGAAGGTGCAAGGCGAGGACGTCACCTTCGCACTGAAGGTCATTAAGAAGAAGCACGTAGTGGACAACAGACAGGAAGAGCACATCCATTCTGAGAGGAAGATCCTCGCCGAGGCTCGGTCGCCTTTTGTTGTGAAGTCAGTCCTCCTGCTCAGCTTCCAATCCCATTTCAGTTTTTTTATCCTACATCATGAAGCTCTGCTCGATTAGTCTGGGAAAACAGTGCGGTGCTTATTAGTTTTTGATGAGATCACAGTTGAGGCCTTGAGCTGATTACATCTTCTCAGTGAAAATGTAGTTATTTGTTATGAAATATCACAGCAGTAGCTTTTCTTTGTCTTTTGTGAGATTACGATGATCCAATTTCACTGTATGCAGTGGAACAGACTCAGATATTAAAGCCATTCTTCACCTTCTGAAACACTCCTTGTGCTGACCTCCTCTTCATACACATGTATAAATTTGACCTTTTTCATATGTTTTAACAATTATCTCTTCATATTTCTAAGCTGTTTTCAAGACTGATGTAAGGCGATCTAAGATTTAAGACTACATAGGGTGACAGTGTGGTGGAGCGGTTAACATTCGCTCCGCTGTCTCAAGTGTCTTTGACTGTGATATTGAGTCTGTACATGCTCCTGGGTTGCTATTAACAATTTAGTCTGAAAGCATTACCACAAGGGTCAATTAAACTCACATTAGTTCACAAATTAAGCTAATTTGTGCTGTGATGTCTTTAAATTTATTATAGTTCACTGCAGTGCATTGTAGAAATAACCACTGGGGCTGCATTAATTAGCTCCCTGCTTACTGTTTATGATCTGTTTTGCATCATTAGTTCTCTCCCTGCTGCTTTTTTATATGTTGTAGTTTATCAGTTTCCTGTTTATGGTAGGATATCAAGCTTGAGTAATGCTGTGTTTTACCAAATGAAAGCTAATGTGGACTATTTAATTTAAGAAAATTATTATTAAATGTGACTACTCTCTACTAATTTTGCAGTAATAATTAAATTAAACGGAAAGAGGTGAGAGAAAAAAATCCTGCATCCTGAATATTATACAACCAGAAGAATAGTATTTTGTCAGATCAGATCCATTTTGTTTTTAATTTGTACCCTGAAAACTAAACAATAGTATACATATAAACAGGAGTAAACAAGTGCAGATCTTAAATGATAGAACAGCATGGCCATTGTTCTGTTTACATGAAACTTTTTACTTTGAACCTTAACTTGTCTTTGCTTGTCTTACCCCAGACTGTATCGCACATTTAAGGATAACAAATATGTGTACATGCTGCTCGAGGCCTGTCTGGGTGGAGAGATTTGGAGTCTGCTCAGAGACAGGTACGTGGGAACAACCACCAATCGTTGCCACTGATGCAGTTACATTTTGTGAAACCTTAACTAAACCACCATATTTAGCTTGTCTGTAAAATACCATAATACCAGCATTGTCATTTTGTTGCTAGATAGTTGCGTAAAGTGGAGGTGCTATTGTTAGCTTACCACTTAAAGAGGGAACCTTCTTGCAATAAGTAATGTCAAGTCCGGTTGTCATAAATCATCGAATAAGGGCTGCCTGCAAGTGGGTTCAGGTGCATTTGTGTAATGAGACCACTTCTGCTGCTTCTCTGCAGCATAGGATGTGACCCCGCTTGTCAGCAAAAAGTTTAAATTTGTCTTTCTTGTCTTTAGGGGGAGTTTTGATGAGTCCACTGCCAAATTCTGTGTCGGCTGTGTCACAGAGGCTTTCGATTACCTCCATCGCAAGGGTGTCCTCTACAGAGACCTGAAGCCTGAGAATCTTATGCTGGATACTGAGGGATACATCAAATTAGTGAGTGTGCTACCAGACTGGACATATTCTGTCTTTAAAAAACTGCAACCACAGCTGGCAGGCTGTTCTTGTTCTTAGATCCTTATTGTACAGAGCTTGAGGCCCTGTGATGAGCTGTGTGTTTATAGTAGCTATAAGTAGTCAAAATCACAAATGTGCATTGTAAATGTGGCTGGCAATTAAGGAAGCCTGCCTGGTATCACCAGACTAATTTGCAAATGCTTATTAGTCTGGAATCTCTCATTTCAATTCGATTTACAAGGGGCTGCAGACCAAAAATCCACTGGACGCAATTGTATAGTTCTACAACAAACTGGAGCAATAAAATGTGACCACCAGCCAATCAGAGCAATTATTCATGTGGTGTAGCACTGAGCAACACATGAAAGTCAGGTGGTGCTTGGTCCATTTTTAAGCAGGAAACAAATTCAAATTACAACTAAACAGTAAAATAAAATGTGTTTCTGAAAACATTTGATGTGAGAAATGGGCAATTCAAGAACAGAATCTTGATTCAGATTTGATCAGCACTGCCTAGTTTGACAGTTTGATTGGAGCTTCATGAGCCTGTGTGCTTCCCTAGGCAGACCTGCAGACTGGGCACAATTGGATCAATCAGAGCAGCGAAATGTGTGACTTTTTAAATCTGGACCAATGATGCTCCTCTGTCAATCATTGTGTAAAATCTGCCCCTGGCTTGATCCAGTTCAGTTTGAATGCAAGGGTGGCCAGACGCATCTGCCAGAGCAAATGAAATACCATGAGCTTGGCAGATTCGTCTGGTTCCCAAGCTTAAAGTTCCTCTTTCTAGCTTTTATGTATTTCATTGACTGCGGTTTTTACTATGTACTCATCAGGGGGTTATATGAAATACAGTGGTCTTAGTGGTCATTATTAATGTATTTTTCTGACAAAGCCAAAAGTTTCCTAAATGGACTGTTAAGAGGTAACTGATCAACTCTGCCTTTTCAGGTTGACTTTGGTTTTGCCAAGAAGATCAGATGTGGCCAAAAGACATGGACCTTCTGCGGGACACCAGAGTATGTGGCCCCTGAGATCATCCTCAACAAAGGCCACAACTTCAGTGTGGACTTCTGGTCTCTGGGTATCCTGGTGTTTGAGCTCCTTACTGGCAGGTTAGTTCATGTGGTCATCTGTGCTTCCAGTCTGCAGCAAGGTTTTGTTGGAGTAAAGCACCTTATAATCATCCTTCTTCTAGTTATCACTTCAATCTCCTTTCTGATTTGCAGTAATTATTGTTCGCTGACTGGAACAGTACTGCGGAAAAGCTTCAATACAACAGCTAAATCAAAGGCTCAAAGAAATTAAATCTCTGCCTTTTTCACCTCCACTCCACAGTCCTCCTTTCTCAGGGAGTGACCAGATGATGACGTACACTTTCATCTTGAAAGGCATTGAGAAGATGGACTTTCCCAAGAAGATCACCAAGAGACCTGAGGACCTCATACGCAAGCTATGCAGGTACAAGATCACACAGACGGAGCAACGGTTAAAAATGAACCTAAATCTATCACTTTTACTCAGCCACTAAATTTCTCAGAACATAATCTGATGATGGTTGCTCACATGACAAATTGCGTAGAGGAGACAAATGGTATCTGAAATGGGTCTGAATCATGTAATCCAGTCAAAATGCAGCCTTTGAGTGTTAAGTTAAACTGATATGCAACTAAATCAAGAGACTTTACCTCAACAACAAAATGCCAATCATAAATATTGATGTCCTGTATTTGAACAGCCCATAAAAGCAAGCAAGACTAGAGAAAAACAGTTGTTTCGCACCCTGATCTACTTTACAGGCGAAATCCCTCAGAGCGACTGGGGAACCTCAAAAATGGAATAACCGATATCAAGAAGCACAGGTAAGAAGGAACTGACTAATTTTGTTATTGATCTCAGTGGGAAGATTAGCCTTGCAAATTAGCACTGATTGAACATTATGAATGTGGGCCAGTGGTTTATAACCTCAGCAATTAGATCATCACTGAACACACTGTACAAGAGCAGTGGGATGCAAAACATGTTCAAAAGGCTTATCACATCATTGGACTTTAATACAGTCTTCATACTTACTCTTCTTACTTCTTACACTTACTTACGGATATGTTTTTATGTGCTCTCTATAATGTGTTTGAAGGTGGTTTAACGGCTTTAACTGGGAGGGACTGAAGGCGAGGACTTTACCATCTCCACTAAAAAGAGAAGTAAGTATAGATACTGCTGAACTACCATGGTAGCCAGAATAAGCACAGTGAAGTATCTCAATAAATCAATCTGTCACCCCTTTCTCCTTCATTAATTATCTTTCACAACAGCTTACAGGGCCGACAGATCACAGCTACTTTGACAGCTACCCTCCAGATGAGGACAGTCCTCCTGAGGAGCTGTCTGGTTGGGACATGGACTTCTGAGACCTTCTTCTCCATCTTTTCATTATTTTCCTTCCATTTTACACCTTAATGACCAAAACACAGACAAAGTGGTTTTCAGGTGACCTTACATCACCTTTGGCAGCCATGGTGGAGGTCCTCAGGTTCTGGGCAACACTTAGCTGCAATTAGCTGGTTAATTTATGAATTTAAGATTGGCTGTCTTAACACAAATGGACACTTATAGGAGAATTATCCTTTGAGTTTGACTGTGAACAGGTGTTAAACTCTTTAACAGCTTGTTATGTATAACTACCACTGTCCTTTTGGTTTTTATATCTGACTGGCACTACACTGGCTAAGTATAATGTAGTGGTAGTAGTGGCATGTTAGCATTAAAGCTAATATCTGTAATACTTAGCTACTGAGATTCTCTTCAATCTGGGGCAGTAAATAAACACTTAAATCCAACACAGCTGACAATGTTTGTTGGTGGGAAGCCAGTTAGGGATCATGTCCTTGTTGCTGCATTACTGTCCCTTTCTTAATGGTTGGGGCACTTGTTTAAAGCAAAGTAGGCATAGCAAAAACATCTGTGTCTGTTACTGTAGAGTTGGATAATAAGAACCAGCTGTGCATTGAAACCAGTTCCAAAGTTATAACAACTTAGAATTCAGTTCATCCCCAAAGATAACTTTTGAGTTGACAGTGGGTATTCGTATTAAGTTAAGTATTCATGTGTAAACACTGATGTAGTGTTTATAATATGGTGGACAGGAGCTAACACTCAAGTGTTACACAAAAGAAAACGGCAAGTCAAACAGCCAATATTATCCAATTTAATCACTTAGGTGAGGGAGTGGTATGTCATTATTTTCACCACATACTGTACCACATAGATACTTCACAACAGAGTGAAGCAAGTTAAAAAATGCAACATTAGATGCTTCATGTTTGTTGTAGTTTCAAAGTAATAGTAATAGTAACCAACTGTGTTAAACTTAGATACCTAAGCTTTCATATTGCTTTGGAGTAAGTTTTGAAACAGATCAGTGTCCGTTGTCACAGTATTATGTTTGTACATTCCTTAATCAATCTACACCCATATAATAATTTTTTACAGATACCTCTAAAATATGGTTTACAGACACTTTCCTCTGGGCCCTCGTGATGGCTCCAGATGTGGTTAGCCGGGAAATTAGTGGTGCAGCTGCAGTTTGTTTACATCTTCAGGAGGAATGGAAATGTGTGGGGAGGAGGTACAGTATGTGTGCGGAGACGACACTGCAAAAAGGCAAGCAACTTGACAACAAACAGAAGTAGAAATTCTACTTAACTGCTTAGACAGCATCTAACCACAATGCACTACTATCCCAAACAAGAAACACTTCTACTAAGAAGCATCAAAGGTTCCTTGTGCCAACAGTGTTATCCCCACTGTCCCTCCACTGCCCTAAGTAGACACACAAAAATATGAACACCTCCACTTAAGTTATGAGTGTGAGCATCCCGCAGCAGTGTGCCTGACCTGAAGAAATATTTACCTTTTTGAAGCTGAGTCAACTCTGCGGTTTCCAGCTTCTTAAGGAGAAAGGGAGTTGTGCTTGGTCTGAGGTGTTCATGATGTGAGGAGAGACAGCAAACTGAGCGGAAAACCTTCAGGGTTTAATATGAGGGGATTTTTAGGAGCTTAGGGTTAAAAAAAGATATGTATTTTCCATTTTTGAACACTTGAGGTTTACAGTAAATCGTGTACCATGCATCTATGTATATACTGTATACTGTGAAGCACAAGCATCAAAAATACACAATTTATACAATCCAAGCTACTTGTTCCTTTATGTATACCTTTAAAACTGGGTGAGTGGATTTTGTAAATATCACATATATGTATACAGTGAGTGGTGAATGTGTGTGTACAGTTTGTACAGTATGTGATAATGTCTGTGTATGGAAGAACCTGGAATTCTTGGAGAAGCTGTGGCCTTAAGATAATGACTACTAATTTCAAGATACAGCTGTTTGTTAATATTTCAGATATAGTTTCTGTTTTTTAAAAAGTTGACTTTTTGGAATTGAATTAAACACTTCTTACATTGGTCAATTTAAATTTGGTTTTATGCCACAATGGATTGTAATTATTTCTTTTATTTTCAGACCTTTCTCACTGTGGACATTTTGACTTGTCACACACAGGGGTATTTAGACATTAATAATAGCTGCATTTCATTGAGCTCAGTGCCAGACCTAACCTGCCACTTCATTCAACTTCATACATTCATACTGTTCATGTTAGCCAATTTCTGTTAGGCAGGTTTTGCCCTAACCAAACAGAGTGATGTCATTTATTTAGACATTTTTGGTTGCTATTTTTCCTGGTTGTAGCTAGCTAGCTGTAAAAAAGATGACATCCACATCCATAACCCTGCCCATTCGGCAAACACCCGTCCTGTTTGAACTGCTGAAGAGGGCAGGGCACCTAAATAAATCCATCATCAGTGTCATTACACTTGCTTTACTGCAATGACAAGTCAAAATGTCTGCCACCAGAATGGGCTGTTTCTTAATTTGTGTGGTTTCATGACTGAACTGTACCTCAAAATAAAGTTTTACAAAAACAAATGTAACCAAACTGCTCGAAGTCTCTATATATATATTTAGAACTCATGTTCACTTAACATCGTTAGCTCTCAAACATATCAAATGTCTCTAAGCCTATGTTCAGGCACTGGGGTACAAACATTTGTAGTGCAGTAGATTGTATCATTTAAGCACACATTTTACTGTAGTATCTACTGCTTCTGTCCACTGAATTTCAAAAATATTAATCTTGAATTTTATGCAGAATGGTACCAAGTGAGATTATAAAAGAAATACATTTAGCATATTTTGAGTTTGTGTGTTGTTTTGCGCTACTGCCCTTTTAAAACCTTCAGGTGTATAAACCAAAAAATCCTTGACAGATCTAAGTCTTGCATACTTTTATTCATTTCTTTGAATGCTTTGTAAGGTTGGTCAGAGCTCAGAGGGGGAGACCTTTAAACAGTTCACCACACTTTCACATCAGTAGTGACAAATGTCCATCACAGATATAAAGACCATCGACACATCAGAGCTTTTGATCCCCCTTTCCCAGACCACACCTCTACAAGATATGCAACATACAGAAAATAAATATTTGCATGTTAAAGGTCATTTCCATATACAAATATATTTTATGAAGCTTATTGTACAAGCATTTCTTTTTTTACCTACAGCATAACATTTACAAGATAGGATTTAACAGTGAAGTAGAGTAAGCTCTTGTAAACTGCTGATATACTGTACTGCATATTTGATACTTGCACTCCAAAAGACATTAGTGAAGTTTAGAAATGGGTCTCAAATGCAGCAAAAGCAGAGGCCCCAAAAACGACTCGTCAGCAGTCGTCATGTCTGCAATGTTGTACTGGCACAACCAGAGGAAGACACTCCATTCTACAGCATTGCTAAAATCTGTATTGGCACAAGATGAGGAAGCACAAACTGGAAAAAGTGTCAGTACAAAATATAAAAGTTAAAAAAAAATCTGCCCTTAGCTATTGACACAAAATAAATGTCTCTGAAATATCAAAATAGTTAATTATTTGAAACACATTTTAGAATAAATTTAACTGGCAATGTATTACTTATCAAAAGAATATGCACTATGTTCACTCATTGTAGACTATTTTGTACCATTAAAAAACTATTCTCAGCCGCTTGCTTTGACTTCAGCTTCATTGCAAACTGAGCTCCGTTCTCTGAATGACCGAGCCCCTCTGAACAGGTGATGAATCAAATCAAACTTTTTGAAAAGCAGAAATCCATCAATTCAAAAGGCACTCAAAGAGACATTAGAATGTCATCAACGTATAGTGAGCTATATACAAAAACAATGTACAAGTCTATAGAAAAAGGTTTGCTGCTATATTTCAGTCTATTTGCTCTGAATAAATATTTGATTTTATGAACTCTGACAATAATGCACAAACCAAAGCAAGATTACGACAAGTTAACTGCTCTTCCAGGTGTGCCTGTTGTTCAATGTAGACCTGACGTGAATACATGTTATCAAATAACACATCCCCTAAAGATTTATGTAAAATCTACTCTATACAGTAATATTAAAGGCTTATGCGACCCAGAAAAACAGATCAGCTCTCCATGATCGTTCAATATATTATATGTATTTTTCATCATTTTTGGTTTTCAATTTTTTTTAAATGGGTATAATGCACATCTCATTTTTGCACAGCTCGTTTTTGTTTTCTCTCTATTTTCATCTTCATCAGTTTCAGTTAGCAGAAGCATTTATGAGCTCTCTGCCACCAGAGAAACCAATTTACGGTAAACTACAATTAACTGTTTTTTCTTGGAGCTGAAAACACAATAGCATTTAGATGTTTAAGAACATAAAATCCAGGTGAAAGTTCAGATTTTCAGCCCATTTCAACCTTTAAAATTATTATTTTTTCAATGAAAATGGGTAAAAACCAAAAATGATGAGCCTAAAAGATATGTAAATAAAAACTGATTGTAGTGTATATTGACTTGATACTGACTTCTTTTTTTTGATATTTCTAGAAGCTTTCTGGCAGTTTAAAATGGTTTCTCTTCATAAATGTTATTCTATGCTGTAAATGTGATACATCATTTTAAACATGTGATGACATGTTCTGAACTTTAACAATGCCAAAACCAACAAAGTTCAGCCTGATATCAAACTCATAGTATTAATCCTCAATGCCTGCCAAGTCCCATGGCTTATTTGATTTCTTTCTGAACTTATCAGGTCCAACAAAGGTTTCAAGGTTTCCACACAAGCATCAAGTGGCTTTTAGAGTCCTGTGGTTTTACACTTGTAATAAAAACATGGTGACAGCCCTTGTTTGATGTAGTAGTTTCTCCTTTTGATATGCTTTATCCCTTTATCTTTAAAAATGACATCTGAAGTTCACTTCTAAAGCTTGAACATTTTCTTGACGAAGCAATGGTGTAATGGGTCTCCCCATTCCAAATGTTAATGAAGACCACATATGAAAGGTAGCTTACTCATCCGCATATAATAAACTCTTAAAATGTGGGTTCTGTACAACAATGGAGCAGTAATCTAAACACAAATATGTACGGCTATCTACTGTACCGCCTACATCATAATTCTGGCTTTGGAATCTAATATATCTCTCTATAGCAGCCAAGCCAATAATTATACAATAACTTCTCATATAGTGAATAACACAGTGATAGTACAGACATAAATACATACACATAGTAACAAAAACCATGCAAGTGTGAGTCTGACTTTGTGGTAATAATGACCAAAGACAACTTCAAGCTATGAAGGAGAGAAAGATGAGAATGACTCCCCCCCGCCCCCCAGAGGCATCAGTTCAAACTGAGGTCATTTTTCCTGAAAAGTGTTTTTTCCTTCTGTTTTTGTCTCTCTTATGCCTTGCTGGTAATTGTATAGCTTGATAGTGAGTTCATGATTGCATTCACCCTGCTATCACCCAACAGATAACAGAGCAGTGATGATAAAGACATAGAGATAAACAGTGGTGCCGGTGGTAAAATTGGAGCATGGAGATTTGACTTTCCATTCCAGTTCTCTTCCACGAGGATAACTCACACAATCCATTCCTTCCCGTGAACGGACCAGTCTCCTCTTCACCTGGAACAACAGGAAGTACTCTCCTCCAGTGCAAAAGGGAAGTTGCGTTCAGCGGGTGTTTGTAAGTGAATAAGTGTATGACTGAAGAAACAGGAGGAGAGTGTCGTTCAGGCTGCATGAGTTGATTTTTTTTTTTTTTCTTTTCTGTATGATGAGTTTTATGTGAACAGGCGTTAAAGGAAAAAAAAAACTATCTACAGGCACAAGAATCTACAGTCATGTTGGGGTAGACTTTCAGCACCACGTTCTTGTCCTCATCAAAGAAGAGGATGCTGAGGGAAGACATCTTCTCTGGGACGCAGCACGGCTCAGGGATGCCTGGGACGACGCCCACTGCCCGCACTATACTCTGGATGGTGGCATGGTTAGAGGGCTTCAGAGCCTAAAGCAAAGGGACAAAAGGGATTTAAAAGGGTTCTTTAAAATTAAACATTTTCCTTTGACAATATTCAGTAACGCATTCCTGATCGCTCTGTAGAGTAATGTCATTGTTTTGCATATTGCTACATAGCTTAAAAAGGGGCAAGGTTTCTAACAACATAATTTTGACAATGATTCCTCTCAGGAATACTCAAGAGACTCAAAAGAGCCATCACTAAAAGGAAGTCTGACATAAAAAACATTAAGTGACAATTTTTTAAACTGCTTTACCAAACTTATTTGAAAAAAAAGCATAGTTAACAGTTTAATTAGTATCCAAATTGGCCATTACTGACATCTGTCACAGTTGAGAACAGAGAATGAGTTCCTTATTCAGTTTTTAATACCTTACTTGCCGTAGTGCATGCATACAGTTCAGGTGTGCTCATTTTTGGTTTTACCTCCAAATAAAGTGCTTTAGATAATCTTGATGAACTGTCAACCTGTCTGACTGCTCATTCTGTGCCCCATCCGACTTTGTTGCAGTGATGTTGTTATCTGAGCAATTACTTACTTACTTAGTACAGTATTATCATAACCAATGAAATGGTGGCCAAATCTATGAGAATATACCAGAATTTGCCATCAAGAGTCCTAGAGAGCCTCTTTTTTTTACTATAGCATTCATCTTTTGGATCACAGAGGATATTGTTCAGTGCATCCAACGAGCAGCTGCAGGTAGATCAAAATCTGAGTTCTAGCTCTATCCCTAGCAGTCCACACACCTGATCAGCTGCTTCATGTCTTAGCAGGATAAGACATAAGGGACAGGGCTATTCCCACACTTTGTAATAAACTAGGCAGAGCAGCTCTTAATAGTAGCCATTTAGCAGCTTCTAAAGCTTTAACCTGGCAAAGGAGCAACATCACAGGCCTGTCTGACTGAGCAGCAAACCTGCAGGAGAGGGAGGGGGTTGCCTTACGCCCTAGGCCCTACTTCTGGGACTAATTACATCCGACTACAAAGGCCGGCGACTCCGAGGTAATGAATTAAGTGGATGGAAGTTGTGCATTCCGGCCATGTTTAAAATACCTGTGATGTTATCTTGTCATCAGGGCCACAAGCTATGAAGGGAGCTGATGTTTAACACCATTGGAGCACAAGTTTCTTTGTTTTTTTTCACTTCTTTGTATGTTCCTTTAAATGTGTAAAATCATGTGCTATGTCATCTGCAACTGAACCGAAACTTTCAAGACTGGCATGAATTACCGGAGTTGCTTCCTTCAAGGTCTTTATTCGCTCTCCTTGAGCAGTTCAGGTGTTTTTTTATTGATTTTTGATGTCAAGGTCAGCCACCTGCTCCCCAGGAAGTTGTACAAGGACTATTTTTCACTTCTTGTTACAGAAGCATTTTCGATTACATCATCTGTAGTTTGACCATTTGACTGCATGTTTAGTCCAGTAAGGCTTCAGTTTGGACTTTCTTTTGTTGAATTATATAAATTAAATTCTGATGCATATCTGGAAATATCTTAATTCCTAAGATATACCGTAGAACAGAAATACATGAAGGAGAACTTCTAACTGTGCGACCACTATAACTAGCATATCGTGACAGATGAAGATTAAAGCAGATGGCATACATTTACGTCTGTTTCTTTAGTATTATCATCTATAATATAAGACAGATAGGCTTCAGGGACTTCTGATGTTAATGTTATCCAGGTGAACATACTACAGAGCAGTAATGGCAATGGTAAACGAGGGACTGAAAGCTTAATGGCCTGATGTACTGATAGCTCAACATAGCCTGTTTTATTTACATAATATATACCATAGTGCTTGAAAAAGCACAGTGTTTGAATGTTAAACATACAGTAGTCGTCTGTACTGTACTGAGTTCTGGTGTTATATCATATGTATTCTATGCATCAGTAAACATTTATCTGAACCAGAACATTTAAAAAACATTTATATACGTTTAGAAAACCCGGTGACAAAACAGATTAGGATGCTGGCAAAAACTGAAAAAAGGTTCAAATACAAAAAGAAGAAATAATGCCTTTCCAAGTGGCGGTGACCATCACTTGGTTTCCAATTTGTAATTTAAAACAAGAAGGTTACAATAACTGTTGGAAGTATAACCCAGTGCAGTGGTTCCCAACCCTTTTGGCTTGTGACCCATAAAAGCAAAGCAATGTCTACTTGTAACCTGTTGTCACAAGTTGCATATTTCTTTGGGTTATGAAATAATCCCGTAATGTGGTCTGCTTTCCGGTTACCGACCCTCGGGTTGGGAACCACTGCAGAAGTGCACTACAAGACTCGGAATCTCACCTTTGGCATGGGGAACTGGCAGGACCCTGAGCAGTAGTAGGCATCAAACGACTTTGGTGAAATAATCCATTCACTCCATCCAATGTCAGCAAAGTCCACTTTTAGGTATCTTCGAGCGCAGTTCCTAGGCTCGTTCCATTGCTTCTTTCGCGCCTTTTTTATCGTCTGCTCGTCGAACTGCAGGAGGGGCATCTTGTGCCGCTGATTCTTGCGTGTCTTTTTACGTGGCCGACGGGCCTGCTTGTTTTCATAAGGTTCATATGGACTTGTCTCATCCCACCCGGTCGTCTCGTAGGGGTACTCGGGCCCGGGAAGTTCATTGTTTTGCAACGGAAGCAGAACGTTGACCGAGCGCTTGTGCCTGGGCTGCGGCTGTTCTTGTTCAGTGTTGTTTCGCTCACGCAGTCCAAGTTTATGGAAACTGTGTGAAATGGAGCCCTCCCCTCCCACCGGATGGTGTCTCTGGAGGGTGGCTACCACACTTTCAGGTTCTGAAATGGCAGAGTCATTGGCGTAGACCAGGATGTACGGTGAGCGGTCCGACAGGAGCTTCTTCCACGGCTGGGGCCCTTGTGAAGCCACATCAATCCCAATCAGCAGCTCGTCGTGGTTTTTGGCCTGGTTGACCACACGAGTTATGTCCTTCCACTGCCAAGATATGAAGTCCCTGTAGAGGGTGGATACATTGATCCGAAAGTGTCCCAGAGTCCTCATCTTGTTATCCACAGAGGCGAAACTCCAGATGACCATGTGGATATGGCTGTGCCTCCGGGGGCCGTGGCGGCCACAGCTTTTGGACCTGGAGCAGCCCTGGGTGCTGTTCTGAAGGTCTCCAATGTAATAATGAAGAGTGGCTGACAGAACGTCTTCTGACTTGGTGAGGGAGGTGAGGTTGAAAATCTGCAGCTGCTTCTTGTTTATTGTACCTGTGTATATAATGAGTAATATTACTTACACAGCACAATTGAGAAGGATTTCAAAAGTTAAACCATGGCTTTCCCTGTATTAATTAATGCTTACTAATTATAATGATAATATGTATTTATGTACCTTTTCCTGATCCAACATGCTTAGCCATGCAGATACTATTGGTTTTATTTGCCCATGTTATGAAATGTCTGTCAGGTTTTATGCCTCCACCCCAATACAATGGTATTTGGTTTGTGGTTCGAAAGATTTCAAAAATGATGTTTAGAAAATTCAAAAGCAATATCTCTTCTCAGAAGTTCACCATTATGCTGGAGAATCCACAAAACACACTTAATAGTTTCTCTTTCTTCAACAGGTAGTAGTTTCACTGAAACCCTTTTACAGTGAGGTCTGCGCATTATCCAGACTAACCAGGGCAGGGTTCAAAACCTGGGCAAATAAAACCAAAACTATCTGCATGGCTAGATACCACTGAGGGCTTGAGAAAATGTGTTTTTAATTTGGGTGAACTGACCCTTTATATGCTATGACATGCAGCTACCAGGCGATAGGAGGCAGTATAATCTAACAAACTTTGACCCTAAATGGAAACTGTGGAAACTGGTCGTCCTTGTTAGTGCTCACGTCTAAGAGACAATAACACAGCGTAGCCTTTAAGCAATTTGGAGCTTAATAACATTAGAGTTGCTACAGCAGTTCCTAGAGAAAACACTAATAAAAGCAGCTTAAATGCAGAAACTCACTGCAGTGAAAACTCTGGAATTCTGCCGCCATACAGACAGGCTGGGCAGCTGCCAGATGCTGGCCCGAGGGGAAATCTATCTCGACTATCTGACACTAAAATCTTAAGGTGTGAAAACATTTGTGTCCGCAAACAATTCGGAGCTGCATGCAGAGATCCGATGTGGAATCTCTGGTCCGGGCACAGGGAAGGAGTAACAGGTTGATCACATTTCCATGACTGGATCAACAGGTGTATTTCACTTTCAGCTCAATAAACCAGCACGACTGGCACCATTGTCCACCTTTTTTTTTATGTCAAAAGCTAAATTGGATAATAAACATGTTTATACTCAAATGTATATGTATGTGTGGGATTTTTTTTACCAAATATGCCCAAACTGCGCGCACATTCTGTGGCCACACAGCTCGGTACACTTGCAATGTGCGGATAATTCCATGTGAGCAAGGCAGGAGACGTTGCCAGATTCAGTTTACATTTAGCAGAATTCATGCAAGACAAGGTATGCATTTGGCGACTGGTAGTACTCAACTGTTTTTAACGTGCGTAAAATGTTGGATACCTACCCCAGTGCGCTTTGAAACTGCGGACAGTGTTGCCGTCCTTGAAGGGAAATCCAGCCCGGTTGTACTTGGCGTAAAGCATCTGCATGTGTTCCGTCATTGTATCCTGTAAAAGCAGGTCCTGGTCGTCTTTCGCAGTGTGCTTTTTATCCACCGAATGCGTAAAATCCACCTTTCGTCTCTCGGGGAAATTGTCTATTTTCAGCATCGCGCAGTATCCAACGCACAGATAACTCCATCCATAAAGCAGCACGACCACAAACCGAGAGTAGAGAGCCATGCTTGAGCCAAAGCGAAGGTAGCAGCAGAAAAAATAAAAGTTTTGGAAAACCTAGCACGTTTCCAAAAGTGATCCCTATCTCCAAAAAGACATACCATCACCTGAGGAGTCCTCCTCTGTTAGAACATGATACCATCACCTTTGACACCAATCACAGCAAGACAGGAAGGTGGGCAGGGGAAAAAAATGAGAGCGTTATCCAAGTTGTCTCTCTGCTTTTGGTAAGCTGCAGGTCTAAACGTGCTTACAGTCAGTAAATGACAAAAGTTCCGACGCACAGCAGAAGGTGTAATGGAGCAGATGCGGGAGAACTAAGCTGCTAAAACAGCGACGCTCCTGGTTTTGTATCCGAGCTCTGAGCTGATTTCAGGACCAACAGTCAACCGTTCCCCCGTCTCAGCTTTCATTGAAGGTAAAGCATGTTGTGCTTGGTATTATAGGGCTTGTGGGACCAGCTGGGTATTCCTCTCTCACACACGTACACACACACACACACACACACTCAGAGAGAGAGAGAGAGCTTCCTGTTAAAGATACTTTTACGCACATTTAGCCAGGGGACAAATTATCTCATGTTATCAGAAGCTGAAGGAGGCTGTTTTGTCAGTTGATAAGAGGCGGATTTTTAAAAAATGTTTTATTAAAGCGATTTATTGCACTGATTTCCACTGCTGCCACAGAACAGCCCCTCCATGCGTAATTTCTACTCCGCAGAGCTGTGCGTCTGGGCCGCGCTGCTGAATGAAGCGGCTTATTGTCGGCATTAAAGGCTCTCTCCCCTATTTAGTTTAGTTCAATGGAGTTAAGCACACACATCCTGTACCATCCGGATGCTGTACTGTGCCCCCCACGCTCCCCACCGTCCCCCAAAACAGCCCATCCCCGTCCAGCCGCCCTCCACCCCCCGCCACTGGGCTTCTCTTTCAGGGGCACTCGGGAGGAAATGATTAGGGCATTTCACCGCCCTTGGACATCTGATGGCAATAATATTAGCATGCCATGTCCTTCATAGGAGTCAACATACTGAAAGGGTTTAACCCCTTCAACTGGGAGGAGATGGGCAGGAGAGAATTCATATAGAAAAACAACAAAGCAGCAGCAAAAGATCTATCAATTAATCTGCACTTTTTCAGACCTGTAAAAACATGCTTTTTATGTTTTTCTTAATACTCAAAATGAAGAAATAAATCATAGATGGAATGTATTTTTACCCAGAACAAAGACCTGTAACTTTGTCCCTGTAACTTATATTGACCAGTAAGAATAGGAGGGATGATCTGACTGATTGTATTACTAGACTTGAAAAATGTGAACCTACCCTTTAACATAAGGCCTGGAGGTTCTGTATATCCAACAAAGGAACTCAATCAAAAACTGATTCAAGAGCTAATCTGAAAGAGCTCAACATACTTATCTTAAGTCATATATGTTTATGACACACATCCATGCACAGTAGCATGTTTTTATGGTTTTACTGCTGCTGTTAGTACTCTGCTGAAAAAGAACCTTCAATGAATTCACCCTTATTCAGATTGTTTAATCAACCAAGGGTATTGATGAATTCTTCTTACATGCCTGGCAACATTTTTTCTTTTAAATTAAGACTATATTGTTGCATTGTCTCAACAGCATTATTGTTACCAGCCTGCTGCTAGTAGGTTCCAAGGTCCATTGTAATCATCTATCCATGACAAGTCATGTACATTTAAAATGAAATGGCTAAAATGAAATCTCTCATCAAAAGCTGCAACCTAAAATGCTATTTTGGTCAACACTGTAATTTTTTTATATGCATGAATTTTCACCATGCCATAGTGTTCTATGTTTGCTTTATATTAGGGTTGAGAGCTTGGTAATGAAATGCTAAATGCTAAAAAGAGGCAAAACTACATGAAGAGATGTTCAAATTTAGGGTGAAACTGAGCTTGTTACATTGCAAAGGCTAAAGAGTGACTAAACTATCTAAGGCCCAGTTTAGTCTGAATCCACCTCTTTACCTCATGTTGTGTATATTAGGGGCAAGTCAGGCCTCAAACTAATAAAACCACGCTTCAGTTAAAACCCTAACAGCTTAAAAGCCCAATAAAAAAAATGAAGAAGGATATAGCCATTTAAATTAGACTTTATTGTGAAATCATTACTATTTACAGACACATGATCTGTGTGGGTGAGTTCCAGCAACTTGTTTTTTTTTTTTTTTTTAGGTTTGGCCTTCTACAGAGTCAAGGCCCACTAAAAGTAGCCTGTGCATTTCCTGAGTGATACTTGTTTGTCAATTAAATTGCCTTTTTTTCATGTGCACATCTGCTGTTTTCATTGCTAGGTGTTTGGTAATGACTGATGCCACTTTCAGGGAGGGAGAGCAGAGCGGGGCTGTTCCATCACCATCACTGGACCACATGAATGAGCTGTGGCCTGTAAACCTAAACAGCTGTAGATGAGGGTGAAATGATCATTTGCCACCCGGTCAGTTACTTCCAACACATAAAAACAACAAAACAAAGCAGTGCAGATAGTGAGATAGTCAGGTGGATGGTTTGGCGATTACGACAGCCTTCGTCCCGAGGTTAAATCTGGCCTTTTCAAGAGGAAATGACATTCCCAACGCAATCCCTCTGCCAAATTTCAATGTACTTCTCATCCTTGTTAGTCCAGTTAGTGTTGTTGAGACAATAGCAAACCAGTTTCTTCAGAGCTGTTTTAACAAGACAAAAATACACATCTATTTAAAGACATACAACAACAAAAACAGATTTTGAGACAGACAAAAAAAAAAGAATGGTCTCTCCAGTCAATCACATTGTTTTTTTATGACCCCTCAAGACTTTCACAAACCTTGTTTCATCATCATTCCAAAGCATGCCCAGAACTCACATCTTAAAAAAACAACAACCAGAAACCCACTGACTAAGAAAACCCCAAACCAGACCCCATTCCCTAAATCCCTGCTTTATAGAACCAGAACCCACATCCCCATGTCACCACACATATTGTTTCAATGAGGCCAACAGGGTCCAATTCCATCAAAACAGACAAACAGATGCAGCCAGTGGAAGGCTGCTCTGGTATCAGGGCGGCTGAGGAACATTAGAGGTTTGTATTACAATGAACTAATTTGTTTAAACCTCATAACTTTCGAAAATAAATTTCACCAGAATGGATGCAGGGGAAGTTAATACAAGGGCACGTTAAATATGGCTGCCACAATGTCAGTTTATAGGACTAGTTGGAACATGTTTAAAGACAGCAAAGTGTATTTTTCTTTCTTGCTGAGAGTTAGATGAAAAAAATCAATACCACTCTTGTCTGGGCATTAAAGCTGCAGTAACTTAAAATAACTTGCTAAAGTCATTGCTAAAACTTTTACTAAATTCCGACTGTAGAATATGAGAAAAAAATTAGGAAAAAAATCTGTTCCTCTGGTGCCTACTAATGCTCCTAATGGTATTTGCAAGAATCCACTGTGCCTGAATGAAAACAACCAATCGGAGCCGAGAAAGACAGCTTTTCCCAAAGTGTGTATCATATACTACTGTCAGAATATATTGAAAGTTTCAGCAAAAACAGAACAAAAAGTAATTTTTATAAACATTACCTACTGCAGCTTTAAATATTTCGCTACAGTCAGGAGACAGTTAGCTTAGTTTACTGTGGCGATCGGAAGCAGGGGGAAACAGCTAGCCTGGCTCCAAAGAAAAAAAAGAAAATCACGAAGAAATGGCCAAAAAATAGTCCAGCACAACCCCCTGTAAAACCATAAGTTAAACGGATTAAACAAACAAGATGAAGATCAGTGAGCTTTAGAGGTGCTGGTTGGCAGATTTTGTTACCATGTCCCCCTGTTTTCAGTCTGTATGCTAATCTAAGTTAACCTGCTGCTGGCTGTGGTTTCATATTTACCATACAGACATGAGTGAGGTCTCTTTCCTATCCAACTCTCAGAAAGAAAATAAGCATATTTTCCAGAAAAATGTCAAAGTATTCTTTTAAAGACTATTATTGTTCCAGTGAAAGGTAATATTGTTGTGAAACCATCATAAGAAACCTTAATTCTTGTTACTGTGCATCAATGCAGGACTACGTTGAATGCCTATATTTTAATGGCATTTTGTTGAGCAATTAAACAAATTGGGAAAAGTGTGTAAAAATGTAAGCATAAAATGAGTACTCCATGGTTGTAAGTGCACAAAAATACCTCCACAAAGCTGGTACATGTGCAGGATGTTTCCTTGTGACTAAATGGAAAAAATGTTTTACCCCCAACTATTTGTCTGCAGAGTCTACAGACACATTTATGAACAAATAACAAAGACCCTGTAATTTGTTAGCTTGTTGTTAGCAAAATGTTTCTTGTGGGGCGGCTGATTCATACCAGGTGTTTCAATAACAAATGCAAAAAAAATGAAATCCTGAAATTAAAAGGGAGCAAGTTGCTAAAAGTCTTCTGTACTTCCTAAATGATTCCTTAAACAGGTTATTTGTAGAGTTGTCTTCCATTAAAAATGTCATACAGAATGACTAATATGTAAATGATAGAGCACTTTGATGTCCTGTAAAGTGTGCCTTGCATCTGGGAACATACGGAATGTTTTAAGCCCATTACCCATTCTTCCAGTCCAATTGGAGCTACCGCAGCCTGGGGGAGGACATAAAAGGAACCCCCATCATCTTTCAAAGCTCTTACGCCTTTAATTTGTTTAGACAAACAGCCCAAAACATGCCAGGCCAAACTATAGGACAAGCCCGGGGTCCCCAAGCAGGTTCCTGCCCCTAACTAAGACTGCTGCTTGGTGAATACCAAACAAACTGAGCTAAACTTGGTTCTGGTCTTCAATAAATGGAATACAGAAGAATTTAATTAAACAAATGATTTTGTTGCTTCAGAGGAGGATAATGTTACAAAATCTAAGCAACAGATATAATCTCAGGCTTTTTGCAAGAAAACTTCCAAGTTGTCACACTGGTCCATCCACTTCTTCCTTTGGGAATCCTTAGTTTAAAGCCATTTTTTCACTGCAGCACCTCCACCCAGATGGCATGCATGATATGAGGGGAACAGTTTGTAAATGATGGTGCAACTAAAGCAACTCAGTCAAATTAGAGGCTTCCAGTGCTCTCCAATATGTGCCATATGTATGAATGTGTCGGCAGCAGCCTCTGAAGTTTAGACTGTCCTGATGTTGTGGTCATAGATGACGACATGGATGTAGAGGTCGGACCGTAGGAACGTCCTGTTGGAGTCCTCACCAGGACCAGACTGGAACCCAACACAGATTTAAAGCAGTTAGTACGGCTTGTTTGGACAGCGTTATCTACAGTGCATAAAGGTCTGTTAACAATAAATTTTAAGTGGTTTTCCACCTTGCTTCATTTGCGTTAATTGTTGTTTTTACTGTCTGCGTTTAATCAAGAAAGTGTGCCTTTGTGTGAATGTCATTTTTTTCCAGTTTCTTTCCCTTTTGCCTCTTGAATAGAAACCTTTTGCTCAAACTTTCAACCTGTGTGGATGCATCAATTCATGGCACCACTTGTGCCTTTGCATTGACTTTATATACATTTATATATATTTCCTTCACTTTTAGTCTGAACACACCTCGACATATTAGGTTTTTAAAGCAGCATTAAGCATTTTTGACCACTAGGGGGCAGAAGGTCTCTAAAGCAATCATATTCCGAATATACAACTGGTTTTTTAAGTTGTTCAACATGTTAGCAAATTGTTTTCTTAAAGCTTAAACACACTTCTCTGGGCTACGTGAATCTCTGGTCTGGAGACATTTGCGTGACTTTTATAATTGTATGTACAGTTTGTATAACGTTTTTTTCCACTGAGTTCCGAACTTGCCTATCAACAGGTATTGAATCAACCAATCAGTTTGCTTGACATACAGGTCAACAGAAAGCGTTACTGAAATCAGGAGGTGTGCATATCAACTCTTCTGCAAGTCTCTGCAACCTGTGGTTACCCAGAACACCTTTCTCTACATAGGTTAGTGATGGGCAGGTAGAATATAGTGCGTTTATCTGAGCATGTTTACTGAAAACAGCTGCCTATGGTTTTGTACAGGGGGGTAAGAGTAATAACAGTCATAAGACCATACAGAGTATGTTTAACTGGAGAACTAAAACTAAAAAGAATTTAAAAGCTGTATAGAGCCTCAGAGTTGGTGTTAATTCTCAGTGGGTTTGGAACTATGAACACCTTTCCCATCACAAAGAATCATAAGATTTAATGTGGATATAAGAAATGTCTTTTAATGCAGGTTTCCAATGTTAGAGCTGCCATAGATTAAGTATGTTAGCAATTAAACAAAACCGCAGTTATCCAGAACATCTCTTTATAATAACAGGTATATTAAAGGGGAGGCCAGTGCAGCATAATTTGACAGTGACTGTAACTGTTCATATTCCAAGATGTTTTGTGTTACTTTGAATGTCAGAACTGACATGGCCCCACCACTAAGATGTGAAGCCACTACCATCTGGGAACATTTATTTAAGGCTAAGTGTGTCAAAAGCTTCTAGTGGGAGTGGATCCATAGCCAACCATTACACTCAATTTACACTTTTACCTCAAACACACTTGTGGGTGTCCTAATAAGTGAGGCGGTCTTCCTTTGCAAGTTCAAAAGAGCGTCAATGAAAATAGACCAATAAAAAATGACTTCATAGACATATAAGAGAAAATGGGAAATGTTGGGTAAACTAAATGATAAACATCTATTTTTACGGAAGCCAAAATACGTCATTAACACTCACGTCATCTAAATAACTTAGAAAAACTATCAACATTTTACTTAGACTGAATCAAGCCATTGTCAAAACTGGAATATGACAACCCCTCTATCCCTCAACCCACTTTTTGGCAAGGGCAGAAAAAGTGGTCATGGTATGACAAAGACAAAAAAACAAACAAACCACCCAAAATGAGTTGATGTGAGCCTTGATTTGGGAAGGTTCCACTGCGGATCTGCGGCCACATGAGCAGCTAGTGAGCTCATGGTGGGTTAAAAGCCGGATGGTTCTGCGCTGCTCCATTCCGAGCCAATCTGGGCTGAGCTGAGCTGAGCTGGGTTCTGGGCACACGGGTGGTTTGCTGTGTCTGGCTTCCTATGCCATCTCTTGTGTTTTTAATAGACAGCCTGGTCGGGGCGGTGCTCGACCGCAGCTAGAACACTGTGCTGCCATTTTGGCGCTTGGCCTCAAAAACGCAGTCCCCACAGCTCTGTCTGCAATTTCAAAATAGTTCAGCCCCATCAACTACTTCCCTACCCCCCAGCAAAGAGGGAAACTGGAGAGAAAAAAACACCGTCTGTCAGTCGTTATTCTTCCAGGGCCCCTGTTGGTCTGTGAGTGTAGAGGAAGCACCTGTCTCGACCCCTTGATCCTCCGTTCTTTGTGCAGGTGGAAAGCAAATATCTTTCTCTCCCGATGATTTCTTTCTCTCTCTCTGTCAGTCACTGCTTCTCTTACAGTGTGGGCTCCCTCTGAAAATGATTGTGTCTGATATGTGTGAGACTCCAGACAAAAACTAGCCAATTAGTAAAGTTGACAGAGAACTATTTTAAAAGTCTTAAATATTTTCGCATTCAGTGGTTAAACCCGGAGACACTGGGAGAAAGTAAGGGCATGGAATGCAACAAAAAGTCCCAGACCATATTAAACAAACAGGATGTTGTGGGTACAGGGCAAGTTGGCTTCCTGTGCCACGAGGACAACAAAATTTGTTTTTAAAGAAGTCCCTGGTGCAGCAGCCCTATAGGCTTTTTGCTTTCCTGGGACATTTTACTGCTGTGCAACAGGTGAGCTGATCTAATTAGCAGTACCATTTGTCTCCCTGGGGCTTAAAAACAAAGCAGGACAACAACAACAACAAAAAAACTTACCAAGGGGTCCACACTCAGGATCTTTTTGTCCCTCTTATTCTTAAACAGGAGGCCGTTAGGATCGTCATAAATCACCTCAAAGTTAGGGCTCGAGTTGGACGTGGACACCTGTGTCTTCCAGTTGTAGTAGCTGTAGAAAAAAGATGACAGTAAATGTTAGGTGAAGCCATTTTTGAAGCTTGCAGTCAGCAGTTGCGCTGGCTGTGCTGCTCAGCCATTTGGTTTGTTTTTGCTGTTTTTGGGTCCATGCAGACATATTGTTAAAGAGATTTGAAAACACATGTATTTCAATGAAAGGATGCAACTCATGGCATTCAAGCATGGTGGGGGAGTGGTATATTTTTGTGTTGTAAAATAAAAAATTTATAAAAAGTTAGCTTTAGATGAGACACCATGTGAACCAGGAAAACAAATCTGTATTGCCTCTCCTCTTGCCCTCTGCTGTGATTCACCCACTGTGTGCAGTGCAGTGTGGCTTGGGTTCCTTTGTCTAATCAGGGCCTCATATATTCTGTGTGGATGTAGGATATTTGGAAATACACGGCAAGTCAAAATGCTTTCAAAAGCATCAAACGTTTTGTTTTAGGTTGGGCTGTGACTGGTCAGTTGCATCAGTGCAACACAACACAGAAGGAAAAGATAGGACACGGTTCAATGTTCCAGTTGCAAGCAGCAATGCAAGTCAAAGTGGCTGAGCTTCACAACACAATCATGTTTTTTTGAATTTGGAATGGGAGTCGATAGTTGACACTCGGTCTGCAATGTGTTTTAGCTCAAAATGTTTTCACATAGAATAACAGTGGATACAAATGTTTTGAATGTAATTTCTCTGCTTAAGATTAAGAAATATGGTAGTAATATAGTTTGCATGAAAAGACCATTTGGCATTCTGCTTTTTTTTTTTGGAACATTTTCCTTTATAGGCTCACACAGCAGGAGGCTTTAAAACAACACAAGCACCATATCGAGGTCATGACTTAGCATGTTTCATGGAGGAAAGAAAACTTCACGGATTACGGAGCGTTACACAGCCATTGTTATCCTATCAATATTCAACAGCAGGTTATGAAAGAACTTTGCATAGGAAGGAAAGCGACCTGCAGAGTAAAGTATTTTTAGTGACAGAGGCAGAAGGTAAAAGTCTGTTTCCAATTTGATTGTGAGGGCGCTGTGTTGGAGTTCGCCAAGCCAGGCATTAAAGTAAAGCTGTGGCTAATAAGCAACTGAAACCAAAGAAAGGGTATAATTCCAAAATAAATGACCGATTAATTTACAGCATCCGATTGGATCCTGATCTGCTTTTAGGTTTTCTGTTATTTTTGATACAGCAGAGCAATACTGTGCAACTTTGTGACAGAGTCAAAGGGATAAAAAAGTTTGGCCCTGTAGGTTAAATTAATACGTTTAGCATGTGCATCAATTTGAGGATGACATTTATGAACCTTTGTTTATCCCTGTCAATTCACTGATCAACTAAAGGCTGCTCAAGTAGTTTGCTGGAGGCAACATGTTTGTTGAAGAAAAGAAAAACATCCATAGTTTTTTTTTTCTGCTAGCCACAAAATTGGCAGATCCTCTCCCTCCTTTGTGATGTGAAATACGAGGCGGGTTGGGAGTTGAAAACATCTCATTAAGGTAGTGTTGAATACTGCATTGTTCCCATGTTAAGTTTGGATTCAGCATAACCTCTCTGCTGAGAGGAGCCAGACACGGAAATGAGAAAACCAAAGAGACTTTGGTAAGAAAATGCAAAATCAACATTAAATTAGGCCAGATAGAGCTTTATTACCCCAATCTGTTTTTAATTCATCAGGTGAATTCACTCATCTTTATGTACCAAAGAACTGTTCTTTTATTGTTATGGAATGTGTTATTCTTCTGTGAAGCACTATGATACCTTGTTTTATAAAACTGCTACACAAAAACATATTACTGTTATTATCACAGCATGACATGTCTGAAATCTTTATCCCTACTGATAATTGCAAAAAATGCATGTTTTTAACCAACAAAAGCCTGGCACAAGTGAATATTTTTAGTGGTTCTCGTGACTAGCTGTTCACATCACTAGTAACACAAATCCACATGTCACACTCTGACGGTTGCTTTAGCGGGCCTCGGCTGCTCCCCAGCAGCAGTTTGTGGTCCAAGAACAAAGTTAGACCTTAGGGAGGAGGCTCAGTGTAAATCTGGGAAGAGGTACGTGATGTTAAGGTTGAGTGGGCTGAAGCTGCAGCAGCAAGTTGTAAATATGGGACCATAACATAATGGAGAGGTGCCAGCATGCTGCAGGTTATATTCACTTGCTGTGATGCTTTACTGGAGCCAGTATATGATGAACAGCAGGTATAAAGTATTAATGACCCACACTATGTAAAATACATCTCAAAATGTTTACACTTACATTGTGTCACCCCTGCGATCTTTGAAATATTTCAGCTGTTTGGCTGAAGTCAAGATGTTTTCTTCAGGATCTATTTCAAGAGTAATCTCTTGTGGCACATAAAACCTGTTTGCAAATACCCATTTGCATTTGAGCCATAAAAATATTTTCTGACTGCAACATATCAAGCATGCTTGCTACAAATGACAAGCAAACATATAGTACAAGCAATATAAAAACTTACCCATGTGGCCTTTCCAAAACCCACAGACCCCCACCATGCAATTTTGGGAAATGTAAATACATATTTTTGCAGAATGGTCTGTTTTTGAATAGCTATGAAAAGGGCCAGGTATTCTAGCCAATACTGAGAGCAATTTACTTTACTATTGGTATCCTGGCAACATGGTTTTCCTGGATTGGTCATTTGTCATATTCCCAAAGACAGTTATTCAGAATAAGGGGAAAGGATCAACCTCCATGTCAGCTTCTGGATGCTTGCCAACATCAACATCTTGACACAAAGACCCAGACCCAGGAAGACAAATGTTGACCAAAAATATAATTAGATCATTTAAATGAGATTGCTAGACAAATAAAATATAATAAAATAAATATAAATATGAAAATATGTCATTACAACTAGATTAAAATGACTTGGTCACAACGATGATGTTGACTTGACTTGGACTTTCTATCAAGCACTTGAGACTTGAGACATTTCTTACTTGCTCTGACAGACTTGGGCCTTAATGGACTGTAACTTGATTATTGACTTGGACTCAAACTATTTTGAGACTTGACTTTTTGCAATTGACTTTAATTTGACACGAAATTTGAAACAAAATTGTTTCAGTGATTTCAATTTCAGACTTTACTTAGACCTGACTGATTAAGTGAAATTTGCCTAGGACTTTGATTGACTTCAACTTCAGTCTCGACTTGGACTTATACTCCAATGCCAAGACTTGACTTTGACATGGCTCAAATGTGTTGCCTTGAATGAAATTGTCTTTATTGTCTTTGACTTGACTTGTGGGTTGTTTTGTATGTACCAGAGTTTGTTTGAGAGCTTTCACACCAGTTTGAAAGAACCAAACAAAACTGACAAATGCAACAATGTCTTTAAACCGCATTAAACAGGTGTGAAAACATTCTGAAAATTAAATCAATCCCAAAATCAATTCTGTATGATGGTGTGGTAGAGAAACACATAAACTGTGCTGAAAGATTTTATTCATATCGTCTGCTTCTAGCAGGCTCTACTATATTTACTATAACAGACAACAAATTTTGGAACATGCAACACTGGATACCATCTGATGTCTCGGATATCTGTCACCCGTCTCCTGCCAGCTTTTGGAGTGATCTTCCTCTCCAGGAAACACATGCACTGGATGCCTCTGAACAGTCCAAGCTCTGTGGGGAAATACACTGATGCATAAAATTATAAGGTATGATAGGACGAGAGGTCTGGCATTTTTTTTCCGAGTTGCCAACAGAGCTGAGTAGAGCAGGTTCAGAATAGACCGCTGCAATGCCCCAATTATGAAATACAAATTGAGGTTTTTCCCTTAAAACTCAGAGGAAAATTATATTGTCTGAGACTTGCTTTCAGATGCATACTTCCTCTCTTTGTAAATTAGATCTGACAGTGTTTCAGTGACTATTTATACCAAAATGCCATACATCAATTAACATTTTTTTGGTCGACCACTTTTATTCCATGGTAAACCGCTTACTTTTGCTAGAGAAATGGGACAGATGTGAGATATTTTAACACTGAACATGAAAAAGACTGACGAAAGTGTGAAAAAAAAATATTTTTTAACCAATGCTGAGAATTTTGTTCATACGTTACTTGGATGTCTTTATTGGACCCACCTCCCTCACTGTCCCATATGAACTGTCACCGGGGCAACTAACTGCATGGTCGGTGCACATTTGGTCACAAAGAAAGCTCCAGCAGCTGGATGGCACCACACCCAGACACATGGACCAGTAAAAGTGTGAGAACCTGGATTTGGTGGAAACAATGACGGTGCTCTCAGCACCGGTTCCTGGTTCCCTATGCATTTACCATTGCTGTTTGACACGTGCACTGTGTCCTTTTCCTTTCCATAGTTACCGTGCTTAGTTCTATTGTTATCTCCAGGCGGTCATTTTCCAGGGTAATGTCAACAGTCTCATTATAGGGCTCAGCGGAGCTGGACTCTCTGTGCTGGATGATATATATCATAAAAGAGCAAATACCTAGCATGTGTATTCGTTCAGTTTTTTCTGTAGTGGCTGAAGAACACAAGTCCAGTAACTGTTTCTGAAGTTAATGTTTCCAGAGTAAATCACAAAAGGCCTCTTCAGTGTTGAGAGGCAGAGTGTAATGGGTTGAATTTATGGTTAAGCCTTCTGGGGGTGTCATGGGTCTTATTCAACGACAAATCACAGATGGGCCGTGACCAGTTGACAACCCCATTAACAAATCCATATCTAGCCACCCACCCACACACACCTTTAATTTATTTAGTCATTTATGTATTTGCCTTTATAGGTTGTGAAAATTGCATACTATAATAGACAGAGAAATACAACAAAAAATGACCATTATACTTAAAGTAGACATCACTCTATTTACTACAAAACTGACAGTTAAAGTATTGTGTATTGTTAGACATTAAGCCCAATGCGAGTGCTTTACTGCATGTATTCACATCAATGTGATACAATTTTTCATAATTTAAGATCTTTGC